AATCCCATGAATTGGAAACACAAAGACCTGAGGAAGGTGAAGAACTGAGAAAGTTGGAATGGGAAAAAGTTGAAGGTAAAGCTTGAAAGATGAAGGAAGGGACATTTATAGGATGAGAACGACAGTTCAGAACCGATAGTGGCCGACAACAACTGACAGGCATTTAATGCCTTGATACACAAACTGACGGGATGTTTTGGTCATCTTTGTCGTTTGTGTCACAATGCTTACGTCCTGATAGATAGAGGGCATGTTCGAAGCCTCAATTCATTTCTTGTCATTGCACTCCAAAAAATGAGGGGACTATCTGTATACGGTCAAGATCGGACATACCTAATTTTGTACGATTAACCAAAATCGGGATGGAAGGTGAAGGTCTGACCCCAGTTATATCAGATTATGGTACAAGTACAAATGGATAAGCTCGTGGATTAACGCCGATGAAGCTCAAGTTTGGTCGTGATCGAGACGAAAATGAGAAAGAGATCAACAAGATTGAAGAAGGCCTGCTACGTCCAATAACAGGAAGCCGAGATATTCGGGACTAGGCGAGGATCGTGGCAGAAATCTTGGCATGTATCGAGTTAAGATCGGATATTTAGCCTATCAGGGGATTTACTTCTGTAATTAAAATTATACCATAAATAGGATTCCTCTACTATATAAAGTGGGTTCTAGTCATTTTGTAACCATCTTACATTGATGCATATCAAAGCAATACAATACTCTTTTTCTCTCGTTCATTAGTTTATTTCGTAATTTTACTCTCACTAACTTAATTCGAGGGCGACGTAGCTTGAGGGCTGAATTGCATGACAATACTTGTTTGCTTTATTTTGTTGTTTATTTCCACTATTTATCATCATATTTTTATCAACTGGTGCTAGGTAAAATTATGTATCCTTAAAATCACTTACAAGTTTAATTGTTATTCAATTTTAAGGGTAAACATAACATTAGATCAATAATTCTAAACTTTGATTTCAATGAGATATTCCTGAAGGAGATTCCTCTTATGGGTAAAATTCCCAAAGCTGCTGATGAATTATTGGTGTTAATTCCTTAAGTAGAATTGCCAGCGCAACGGGATCTAAAATTTTCACTGATTAGTGCACAATTAATTAAGCAAACTAGTATGTGATTTGCAAGGATGTTAATGAAGTGAATGCAACCAAAGCACTTCTTACATAGGTTACTCTGATAGATCCAAATGAGAGACAATTTTGGCATGCAGTTAGTTATGATTGGAAACTATAATTCTGTAAGAAGTGGTTGAAAATTTGACGTGTATACACTACACAACCCATAGTTGAAGAACAACATTATGATCATCCTAGAATAGGACAGAAGCCAAGAAGAATTGTTCAAATGTGGATATCTAGAGAAGTTGGTGCATGATTGCAGGGTAATAGGGTTACTAAGTTACAGCCACATTAAAAGGATAATCGACAAGAGTCATGTAGTTTATAAGCAATAATAACAACAAGATGTAGTGGTTGAGGTAAAGCAGAGTCATGTAGTTGCAAAATAGCAAGATGTTACGGTTGAGGCAACGCGAAGTCATGAATTTGATAGAATGCAACGTGCAGTAGTTGCGGTAACACAGAGACAACAAGCTACTCCTAATAGAGGCAAAGTTATGGAGAGCCCAGCTACTCCTGAAGAGGCACAGTAGTGGAGAGCCCTATTTTGAATTTTCAAGAGTTCATGTCCTACTGATCTGTGACAACTAGAAATTTCTTCGGAGCTTTGCAGATTGAGGGTTATGTGAAATCTAGGCCAGTGCTCACTGTTAGAGGTGGGAATCCTTCGACATCTCTATGACTTGGACTATCTAGAATCTAAGTGTCACGACCTAAATCCTACTTGTAGTAGCCCAAAAAAATTATATATACTTATTAAATTGTGAGATTGAAGAACTACTTTAGTTTGTAGTTATCGGGTCGAATATTAAATAAGTAACAGAGAAATTTGTTATAATGTTATAAAAAATAGTGTATTAAATAAATGGCTAGAGAATATGTTTCAATTTACTTATTTAGTTGACTTTGGTCAATTTTGTTGATAAATAATTTTAAAAGAAAGAAATAAATGAAAATAAACCAAGCACAATTTAAGGACTTCCCGTCCAGATTCTTCCGGAAGTGGGAATATATGCACTATTAGGGTATTAAGGATTAATATATTAAATAACATTGGCTTTGGAAATATGGCTCTAGTGCCGTCAGAAACTATATTGAGGCTTTTCTTTTTATCAATTCAATTCATATATGTATACGGTCAAGATCGAATGCCTTCGATCTATATATTGGGAAGTCGTCCGAAGTTTAAGGCGGGGTAAGTCAGGTTCGAGCTCGAGGGACCAGACCCGAGTTCAAAGGCGAAGCACGATGCATACCGAGGTCGGGTGTGTTCTACCCCCAAAATAGTACCGTTATATATTTGTACCAGAACGAGCTAGATTCTTGCCACGTCCCCAAAGTCATGGCGCAAATTACGGAATAGGATTGTACAACTCAGTACTAGACGGTTAGACAGTTGTACCGAGAATATTCCCTACTATAATGGAAATATTCCTTATTTAGGGTTCCCCTATTATATAAGGGGGACCCCAATCATTTGTAAGACTATCTTTACTGAGCAAAGAATATATTCTCTAGTTTTTGCCTGTTGTTCATCAGAATTGTCCCTTAGCTTAATTGTTCTTACTTTGATTTTCCTACCTAATTGTTCTTACTGCCCTAAGCCACCTCGAGGCCACCGTCTCGAGGTCACTGCTGCTAAGTAACATTGGTTTGATTAACTTTTATATTTCATTTTTACTTCATATTTCTTGATTATTAATTGATATTGAACTAAATCACATATCTTTAAAACCACAAATCAAGTTTAATTGTTACTCGTATTTTCGAGGTAAACAGTTTGGCACTCACCGTGGGGCTAAAGATAATAGTGATTATTTCTTTACTGATTCTCGTTACACACGTTATCTTTACACTTTTTCTTATCAAGACTTTTTGATTCTCAGGCTTGAACATATCTAGCACACAAACGCACATGTTCATGATAGCGAGGGTCTTGGAGAAAATAGCGGTATAGAGGTAGGTATACCACCCATAAACCCTGAGGGAGTGCCAAATATGGAGCTAGTTGATATCGGTTCGCATAACTCTCTAAACACACATTCAAGCACAGACCCCGTAGGGAATGCACGCAGGGAAGCCCGACAAGGGGACCAAGGAACGCCAGGAGTAGGAGATGGGGGAGTTAGTCTCTAAGTAATATTCAAGATGCTGCAAGCTCATCAAATCGCCATCGCTCAACTCCAAAGTCAAAATAAAACCCCAAGCATAGCTGAACATGAAAACAATCGATATGCTGAGCCAACGCTAGAAAGGTCTAATGAAAACAGCTCGGGGAATGACCCCACAATTATGAAAATGATTGGATAGCTCAGTAAGAGGATCGAGTCCGGATAAAAGTAGATCGAAGACAATGAGAAAAAGGTGGAGACTTATAACTCCCATGTAGACCAGATACCGGGGGCACCTCCAGTTTTGAAAGGTCTAGATGCTAAAAAATTCATACAAAAACCATTCCCTCAGAGCGCAGCTTCAATGCCCATCCCTAAGAAATTTCTCATTCCCGATATACCCAAGTATAATGGAACAACCGACCCCAACGAGCATATTACTTCATACACTTGCAGAATCAAAGGAAAGGACTTGAATGATGATGAGATCGAATCAGTGTTGCTGAAAATGTCTGGAGAAACACTATCCAAAGTAGCCATGATTTGGTATAACTACTTAGCTACTAACTCTATTGATTCGTTTGCTATGTTAGCAGATGCCTTCATGAAAGCGCACGCCGGGGCCACAAAAGTGGCCATGAGAAAGTCGGATGTCTTCAAAATTAAGCAAAGGAACACCGATATGTTAAGGGAGTTCGTGTCCCCATTTCAAATGGAAAGAATAGAATTACCTCGGGTCTCCGATGACTGGGTAGTACAGGCCTTTATGCAAGGCCTGAATTAAAGGAGTTCAATCGCTTCTCGGTAGTTGAAGTAGAACTTGATTGAATATCCAGCTGTGACATGGTCGAATGTGCACATTCGTTATCAGTCAAAGATCAGGGTTGAGGATGACCAGTTGGTTTCCCCCTCGGGTTCAGTGTATCCTAACATATTGATAGCCAAGCACCCTAGGGACACAGACCGGGAATCAAGATTCGACAAAGAGCGGTATCAGCCATATGCCGATCAAAGGGGAAGGCCAGAGCTACAATACTCCTCGGAGTGATCGGAGAAACAATCGAGGTCAAAGCTCTCGAGGACTCATGAGAAAAAGCGAATTCAACAAGCACTCTGACTCCACCGAGGCTCCTCGATTATCAGAATACAACTTATCGATGCATCAAGGATTGTCTCCACTATTGGGAGAATTAAAGACACCAAGTGGCCCAGGCCGATATAGACCGATCCTTCTCAAAGAAGCCCAAACTTGATGTGCAAGTATCATGGCAAACATGGCTATCGGACAGAAGATTGTAGTCTGGTAAGGGAAGAAGTGGCTTATTTGTTTAACGAGGATCACCTTCGAGAATTCCTAAGTGATCGGGATAAGAATCATCTCATGGAGAGAGATGCAATGAGAAACGAAAAAAAAAGAACCACAACATGTGATCCACATGATCTTTGGCGGAGTCGACGTCCCTCAACGACCCATGTTCAAGCGTACCAAAGTATCCATCACAAGGGAAAAACAGACTCGGAGTTATGTGCCCGAGGACGTCTTATCATTCTGTGACAAGGAAGCAGAAGGCATATCTCAACCTCACAATGACACCTTGGTAATCTCTATCCTTCTGAATAAAATTCAAGTTAAGCGTGTTTTAGTAGATCCAGGTAGCTCAACAAATATAATCAGATCAAGGGTTGTGGGACAACTTGGCCTATAAATTAGATTGTACTTGCATCCTGGATCCTGAATGGCTTCAACATGGCAAGCGAAACAACAAAGGGAGAGATCATTTCGCTAGTAAACATAACCGGGACCATACAAGGTACAAAGTTCCATGTCATCGAAGGTGATATAAGGTACAACGCACTCCTCGGGAGACCATGGATACATAACATGAGGGCAGTGCCTTCAACCCTTCACCAGATGATGCAATTCCTAATAGACAAAGGGATAAAAACGGTCTACGGAGAGCAATGTTCTGCAAAAGTGATGTTTGCGATCGAGGAGGTAGGGCCAATTCCAGAGCCTCCGACCTCGGAGAAGTCGAGCCCTAGAGATAAGCAGGCCGCCAAATAGCAATTACTGCCTCCAGCCTCAATAGAGTCAAAACAACAGGTGATCGAAGATGAAGATGAGGATTTCCTTACTCCTCGAACCTTCATGATTCCAGAAGAATCTGATGCGAGAAAATCAACTATCGAGGAACTAGAGTAGGTCATTATGATCGAGTACATGCTTGAGAAAAAATTATACCTGGGAATGGGATTAACCCCCGAGCTCAGGAAAAAACTCATTCAATTTCTTATTGATAATATGGATTGCTTTGCTTGGTCCCACTTAGATATGACAGGGATCCCACCAGAAATCACCACACATTGGCTGAGCACCGATCCCAAGTTCAAACCGGTAAAGTAAAAGATGAGGCCTCAGTCCTAGGTAAAGCATGCCTTCATAAAAGACGAGGTAACCAAAATCCTTAAAATAGGATCCATTCGGGAGGTAAAGTATCCCCAATGGTTACCAAACGTAGTTGTAGTTCCTAAAAAAGGAAATAAGCTTAGAATGTGTGTTGGTTATAAGGCCTTAAACAAAGCGTGTCCGAAAGATTCTTTCCCATTGCCAAACATCGACCGAATGATCGATGCCACGCCTGGCCATGAGACTCTAACTTTTCTTGATGCCTACCCCGGGTACAATCAAATTCAAAAGAACCCGGAGGACCAGGAAAAGACTTCATTTATAACTAAGTTTGGAACTTATTGTTACAATGTAATGCCTTTCGGGCTAAAAAACGTAGGAGCTACATACCAACGCCTAGTCAACAAAATGTTTGAAGAACAAATACGTAAAATAATGGAAGTCTATACTGATGACATGTTAGTTAAGTCCCTGCGCGGAGGACCATTTAGTGCATTTGCAGTAAACGTTTGCAATTTTGAGGAAATACAAGATGAAGCTTAACCCCGAGAAATGTGCCTTTGGAATCGGCTCGGGTAAGTTCATCATCTTCATAGTATTAAATCGAGGCATCGAAATCAATCCCGGTAAGATCAAGGCTATCGAGGATATCATGATCGTGGATAGTGTGAAAGTCGTGCAAAGGCTAACAGGGCAAATAACTGCCTTGGGTCGATTCATTTCAAGGTCATCGAACCGAAGTCACCAGTTCTTTTCCTTGCTCAAAAAGAAAAGGGATTTCGCGTGAACCCCGGAATGTTACCAATACTTAGAGGAATTAAAGAAATATTTTTCGAGCCCTCATTTGCTTCACAACCCGAAGGAAGATGAGAGGATTTATCTATAATTGGTAGTATCTAAGATAACTAAGTGGGGTACTAGTTAGAGAAGAGCAAGGTACGCAGTTTCCTGTTTACTATGTAAGCCGAACTCTAGGAGATGCTAAAACTAGGTACCCTCACTTAGAAAAATTAGCACTTGCATTGATAAGCGCATCTCGAAAGTTAAAACCACATTTTCCATGTCATCCTATATGTGTACTAACCACTTACCCTCTTCAAAATGTTTTGCATAAGCCCGAGCTATTGGGCCGATTGGCCAAATGTGTCGTCGAACTTAGCGGGTATGATATCGAATATCAACCCCAAACGGCCATCAAGTCTCAAATCCTAGCTAACTTCGTGGCTGAGTTTATGCTAACCCTCGTACCTGAAGTGGAGAAAGAACTCCTGCTAATCTCGGGTACAGCATCGGGGGTATGGACCCTTTTCACGGACAATGCTTCGAATGTGAAGAGGTCCAAGCTCGACATTATCTTGAAACCACCCACAGGTGATACTATGAGGCACTCTATCAGAACTCCAAGATTAACTAACAATGAGGCCGAGTATGAGGCCATGATTGCAGGTCTTGAGCTAGCCAAAAGCTTGGGTGCATAAGTCATCGAGGCCAAGTGCGACTCTCTATTGGTTGTAAAATAAGTAAACAAAAGCTTCGAGGTTCGGGATGACAGAATGCAACGGTACTTGGATAAGCTACAGGTAACTATGCACCTCTTCAAGGAGTGGACTCTGGACCATGTGCCTTGAGAACAAATAGCGAAGCCGACACACTTGCTAATCTGGGATCCTCGGTTGAAGAAGATGACATCATCCCGGGGGCTATTATCCAATTATCAAGGTCTGTGGTTGAAAAGGGTCATGCCGAGATAAATTTAACAAGACTAATGTGGGATTGGAGGAATAAGTATATTGACTCTTTGAAGAATGGAAAACTCCCATCAGACCCCAAAGAATCGAAGGCGTTACGAGCCAAGGCTGCTAGGTTTGCATTGGATGAAGATGAAATGTTGTATAGGAGAACGTTCGACGGGCCGTTGGCAGTATTTTTGGGGCCAAGGGACACTGATTATATCCTTCGAGAAATCCACGAAGGAACTTGTAGAAATCACTCCGGCGCAGAGTCTATGCTTTGCAAAATTATAAGAGTAGGTTACTACTGGATAGCGGAAAAGGATACTGAGGAATTTGATAGAAAATATTATAAGTGTTGCCGATTTGCATCGATAATCATGAGCCCGGAGAACAACTCCATTTGGTATTATCCCGTGGCCTTTCATGAAATGGGGAATGGATATAGTCAACCATCTACTAACAGCCTAGGTAAAGATAAATTTATCCTATTTATGACTGATTATTTTTCTAAGTGGGTGGAAGCGCAGGCCTTCGAGAAGGTCCGAGAAAAAGAAGTCATTGACTTAATATGGGACCATATTATATGTCAATTCGAGATACCCGCTGAGATTGTGTGTGACAATGGAAAGCAATTCATTCTTAGCAAGGTAACGGAGTTCCTCGAATCGCATAAAATAAAAAGGATTTTATTGACACGGTACCATCCAACCGGAAACGGACAGGCTGAGTCAACAAAAAAACAATCATTTAGAACTTGAAGAAAAGACTAGACACTACAAAAGGGACATGGACAGAAGTTTTACTCGATGCGCTTTGGGTATATCAGACCACATCAAAGTCTAGTATGGGGGCCACCCCGTTTTCTCTAATATATAGCTTTGAGGCTCTCATACCCATTAAGGTTGGAGAACCTAGCACCAGGTTTTGGCATGCATCGGAGGAGTCAAATCACGAGGCCATGAATGCCAGCCTCGAGTTATTAGATTAAAAGCGACAAGCAGTGCTCGTCCGGATGGCCACACAGAAGCAAAGGATCGAAAGATACTACAATAGAAGAACCAACCTTCGACATTTTGGAATCAGAGACTTAGTTCTACGAAAAGTCACCTTCAATACTTGAGAACCGAATGAAGGAAAACTAGGCATTGGGAAGGACCGTACCGAGTCCTCAGAGTTGTCGGTAAAGGATCTTAAAAACTCAGCACGATGGAAGGCCAACAACTGCCAAACAATTGAAACATATCATTCCTCAAACGGTACTACTACTAAGGTACGACTTCATCCTTTTTGTCCATTTGAGTTTAAAATTAAATCATTACAGGTTTTCGAATGAGGGCATACAATATCGAAGGCATCGTGTTTCTACACGAAGGCCTTATGTTTTAAAGCATGTGTTGCACTCTTTTTCCCTTACATCGGATTTTGTCCTAAGTGGGTTTTACCGGAAAGGTTTTTCACGAGGCAACAACTATGTGCTACCTAAGGAGAACTCGATAGTATCCAAGGCTTCTCCTCAATCAATCTCAAATACTGGGGAAATCACCCTCGGAGGTTATATTTTCAAGAAAAATACTTCATGTCTAAGAGGTCCTCGATAGGAAAACTTTGTAATGGGCCAAACGGTTAGATGAACCATGTATATATAGAATAGTCAAGCCCCGACGGCAAAACATGTACGCATGTGTCAATTATTTGAAGAAGCATTCTGTTAATATCAAAAATACTTTGTGTCTCAGAGAAGTCTACTATTACACTAACTTTACACTTATAATCCTACAGGAAACGACTCAAGAGCCAAATCATAAAAGCACCCTGAATACCCGGGGATTGCCATCGATTGTCAGTACATCTGAGTCATCGAAAACTCGAACTTATAAGACCTCAAAAGGGCACCCCCTCGAAATAAAGACCAAGGCTAATATACTCGGGGACTACTTTTCGAACAAGTTCGAAAAGTTATCGGGAAACCAATGCAAGCGACATACCCGAAGGCTACAGCCAAAATAATGCGTCTCGGAGATGCCCGACTTCCTCTATAAATCAAAGGCCTTCAAACACTTTGCAAAAATCGGTTAAAACAAGCTACCCTCATCAAAAGCAAAATATAAAGGGCTTCAATAAACTCAGCCTCCAAAAAATCTAAGGGCCTCAATAAATTCAGCCCCCGTATAATCCAAGGGCCTTGATAATGCCGGCCATCGGAAATACATCAAAAGGTATTCAATAATGTTTGCTCAAACAAATTACTAATAAGGTTCCGATACGTCGAACCTCCGAAAAACTCAAGCAGGTACAAAAGACATATACTAAGGCATACAAAAACTTTTACTAAGTCTTTTAGCCGAAAAGAGGGAAATAGTATAGCCACTTTAAAGGCCGAATCGGCCCAACCTAAAGAGCCTAAAGGCTGACTCAAAGAGCCTAAGGGCCAACTTAAAAGAGCTTAAGGGACAAACCATATAGAGTTCAAGACCCCGCTCTCACTCAACTCGGACTCAAGAGTCCCATTATTCTGAGATCATATCGAATTGATTTAATCTTTACTCGATGATGGAAAAAACCCTAAGGGGTATTATATTTATCAATAAAAACCTAAGGGTTTATTAAGTGTTGAGTTCGAATCAATACTCGGACTGATTGTTTGAATTATCGAAGTCTTCCGCAAATTAAAACAAAATAAAATTCAACACAAGTTAAGGATAGAGCGAAAGGACACTTTATATTCATGGAGGGTGTTTTACAAAACATATTTACAATGCCCGAGAAGGCCCCTTACACATAAAAGAAAATGAAAACCTAATCTACTTTCGGGATCACATCCCCGGAAGTGTCTTCTTCAGAAACTACACCTTCAGCAGCTCTATCTTCAGGAGCCTCCTCTCCCTGGGGAACATCTTTTTCACTTTACTCGTCCCCGGAGCCACT